TATATATATAATAGCCGTTGGGCTGTCAAAAATAGCCATTGACTATTTATAAAATAGCCATTTAACCCTCCCAAACTTTTTATAATTACACTTTTTCCATATTTTCAACTATAAATACCCTATACTATATATACATATATAGTATATAAGATGTATGTATAGCTTATCGAATATAACTTTTATATATATATATATATATATTATACATATATATACATACTATATATACATCTTATATATAGTATATAAGCTGTATATATAGCTTATCGAATATAACTTTAATATATATATTATACATTTAATATATATATTATACTATATATACATCTTTTATATAGTATATAAGATGTATATATAACTTATCGAATATAGCTTATATATATATACTATATATACATCTCTATACTATACTATACTATACTATACTATATATACATCTTATATCGATATATATATATTATATATTTAATATATATACTATACTATACTATATATACATCTTATATACTAAGCTTATCGAATATAGCTTATATATATATATATATATATATACATCTTATATCGATATACTGTATATACATCTTATATACTATATATATTCGATATTAAATATTGAATATTAAAATTTAGGATGTTAAATAAAATTTAGGTCATAATTCTATAATAAAATTTACAAAGCATTGCCTTAGATATTTTTTTTAACATCCTTTTGTCTCTAATATCTATTTAAATTTTTTTTTTTTAAATATATGTTGGGCCCACTTAGCCCGGGACTAAACGGTCCCGGGCCGGTCCATACAAAAAGCCTGTTTGGCCCGGACCCGTGTGGCCCGTTTAATTTAGGACCGTCCCGGGACCGTTTGGACCAGCCCACTTGGCCCGTTTAGGCCCAGAACCGACCCACTTGCCAGCCCTATGCTTAAATGTACTAAATCCATGACTAATGTACTTGAGGGAAGATAGTATTATTGTTTTCTACAATTTGTATTTTACTATTTTCGTTTTCCCATTTCCACTTGTACTTGGTCGCGACACCAATTCTAAAATTAGACGCAACTAATCTTGAGCTTGATCAGTTCAAACTCCTACATATATTAGAAGCATTATATATCAAACAAAGATCCTCAAAAATGGTTCTTGATTATATATGTCTTTATACAACATAACGTACATTTATTCAAAATCATTTTAGGTAATTAAACTTCCAATATTTAACAGATAAAAATAATTATAACTTATTACAACATATTAGTTAGTATCTTTATCAAGTTATTATATAGTATTACTTATCATAGGAATTTAATTGCTTGCAATTACCTTAAAAATGATTTGGTTTGTGTAAACATTTTTGTTTTTATTTTGGGTTCAAAATTTGTGTTTCATACAAGAATATTTTAACCTTGGACTCGTCCACCAATCGTCTCGTCACTATCTTGTACTTGCTTGCATGGGCGTATGTAATGTGTTGCCGGCTGAACTAAAAATTTATATATAAAAATTCATTAAAATTGCATAAATAGTAGATATGAACCTATAACTTTAAAATCATAATTGGTTCAACGCTAAAAACCTTAAAAGTTGAACTCATAAGATTTAAATTCTGGATCCGACTCTGCTTGCTTATGTACTTAATAATTACTTAATCTTTAATCTGAACTGGAAAAAAAATAATTAAGTTGACAATATTGAGTTTCATATGCTATAAATATCACCATTTCTGTTGCTAGTTTCCTCATCAAGAAATCGAAAAGAAAAAACAAGCTACTCAATAAATGGCAAAATACACAGCCTTCGTTGCCCTCATCTTCTGTCTTCTCCTTGTCGCTGCCACTGGTGAGTCAAGAACTATCTTTAAACATGTTTATAAATTTAAATAGACTAAAACGAAAATAGTGTCAAATAAAATAGAACGGATAGAGTACTAACTAAACTTGATTTCAAATTTTCCTATTCGTGCAGAAATGCAAATGGCAGAAGGAAAATACTGTTGGAAGAAAAATCACAAATGGCACGGGCCTTGCCAATATTCTTACAAATGTAGCCACCACTGCAAGCATTATTTTGGAGCTCAATATGGAGTTTGTAAGAAATACCAATCGGAACATAAACATCATTACTGGGCAAATTATGCTTGCTATTGCTACTCTCCCTGCCACTAATCATAGTTTCAATGATTGGCTTGGACTGCTAAATATATTATAAATAAGAAGGTGACTTTGTGTGAATGCAGAGTACTAAATACTGCATCAAGAAACTGTTGGTGTGATTTTGTTGTGTGTTTGTGTCGTGTGACAATGTAATAAGTTTTGTTGAGGGTAGCATGACCTTTTGGTCTAGCTTTGCCTGTACAAGTATGTTTCTTTTATTTAATTTTATGTTTTTACGGGGGTTAACATCAAGCTTGCTGTGAAAAGTTACATATTATCACAAGTCAACCTAACCTAATTCTTCACAAATCGCACAAAATTCTCAACCTTGGACTTCCAATATTGTCGATTTGTCTCTACCTTTTTTCGGATGGTTTTGCTAATGAAGGGATTTTAGGACCTTATCAAAATGCAACACCTTAACAAATCAAAAACTTTTGTATTTTAAAGTCTACGCTACTATCTACTTAGGAATGTTCAATGGCTCTCCTATTGAGTCTATGGTCACTGAACTAATAGAAATTATTTATGAAAGTCATATTACTTTGTTTTGTAATTTCAAAGTCATTATACTTTGCACATTATAACTCAAAAGTCACTCGGCAGTTTTAGGGCTTTATTAAGCATTATTTTTCATATTTCTTTTCAGCTCAACCATTTAAAAAAGCAAAAAACCCATTTATCATGAATAGGCCGTTCCATGACCCGACCCATTTTCTCTTATTTATGTTATAAAAAAACGTAAATATTATTTTGTTGTAGTGTATTATATTGGTTCTCAATATAGTCATGCTGAATGTATACATTGGTTTAAGCAAAATATTAAATAGAGAATAAGGAATTAATCATAACAAACTAGAGGAGTTAAATTTGAAAGTGAAACAAGAAAATTAGCAGCGTTGAAGTGGGAAGAAAATAAAAAGGAGGAAGGAAAAATGAAAAAAGTATTTATGCTTGAAATTTTGACTGAGGAATATTAATATAAGAGTAAATTAAAAGACAATATCCTTGATGTTTCAGAACAAGAACGCGCATTGCTTATAATAAAGATAATATTACTAGATGACCATTTCTAGTGAAACTGATTTAATACTTTGCTTAAACCAGTATGTTGAAAACCAAGATAATTAACATCAAAGTGGTATTTACGTTTTTTGTAACAAAAATAAAAGAAAGTGAGTCGGGTCAAAGAGCGGGTTGAGTCACGGTTTAAATGGGTGCATTTTTATTGTTTAAATGATTGAGTTAAAAAAATATGAAAAATAATATTTAATATGACCTAAATGTGTTGAGTGACTTTTGAGTTGACTTTGATAAATAATTTCGATTAGTTCAATGACCTTAGGAGAAATGGACTCCTCTCCTATTTAAAGAAATGACTTTTATCAAAAGTTAAAAGAATGAGAAATTTGACCTACTCATGACTTATGTTAATTTTATTTTTTTAAACCATCTAATTAATATTAATTGACCCGACTACTCTAGATTCACACCCCGTAGAATCCATTTAAGGACGATGCTCTTTACCAAAAATTATCAATTCATAAGATTTGATAATTACGACATTTAAACAAATGATCTGATGTTGACTTTTATAGCAAGCTACACTTACGCCCAACTTAAATTCCTTAGCTTGAGCGGGTAACATTTTTTAAGAATCACTTGACATTTAATAGAAACATAGATCAAATTGGCCTAATAATTTTATCTGAAACATTCTTATATTAGATACATACGCTTAGATGTACTACTCATAAATAATGTACTTGAAAAAAATGGAAGTATTATTTTCTACAATTTCTAATTTATACGTTTTCCCATTTTCACTGGTACGTGGTCACCGCCAATGATCTAATATTAAAAGCAACTAACATCTTGAGCTTGATCGGTTCAAACTCCTAAATATATAAGGAGCATTATTAATCAAAGTTTCACAAATTTTTATTGATTATATATGTCACTTTAAGCATGTAATTTTTGACCCGCGTAACTTTTAAATATAATATTTATTTATTTTTATTTTAATAAAATTTCAGTCAACTTTTAATTTTAATATCAAAAAAAAATATGTTTAAAAATACAAAAATAATTTTATAATACTTTTTCTCCTATTAATTAGTATATTTTAGTAGTATTTTTACTTTTGTTCAATGAGAAAGAATTGAATTTGGGCCAATTGGGAACCCATCTTCGGATTTTAGTGGCCCAGCAAGACAAATGTCCACTATTCCCAACTTATTAGCCCTTCTCCATTTAAATGCAAGATTTAATCTTAGCCATCGATTCCCCTCCAATCTAATGGCTCATGTCAATTCTTACACCCATATTTAAACCTAATTATACCAAACCCTAGCGACAGGTTTAATTTTAGAGCTCACCCCAAATCCCTACACTCCCTAGAGCAGCCACCCCCACCTCTGGGATTCTCATGCAATAGGGAGGACCCCCCACCCCCAAGATTTAGCTCCTTCATTCCCTAAATCTCTCTCTCTCTCCTTCAGAGGGCGATAGTAGAAGCTCTTCATTGGAGAAGCCTGCCGTGTCGACTTCGCCGGAGATGTTGATGACGATGAGAACTTTCAGATCTGGCTGGGCGAGCTAACGCCGACGACGCCACTTTCGAACTCCATTAAAACCAGCAGCCACCAAGCTCTTAAACCTTCCTCCTCCAAAAACCTATTAATGATGAGGTCTTGTTGTTCGAGTTTAAGGGTCTGTCGAGGTCAAGTTTTCGGCGTGGTCTTTGGTTAACGGGTCTGGTATCATTGGCTCAACATTCTTTATAAACCAGCTAAGAAGCTTTTAGATATTTTGAAGGTAATAAAAAGGTCTGTTTCCGGCATTTCCTTAGTTTTGCTAGTTTTCTTTTGCTTATTATAGCTTGGTGTTTATTTTTTATTAGCTTATGCCTATTTTGTATCAGCATAATTTTAGTTGTTGCTTTGTTCATTTTCATAATATTCTGTTTGGTTTGTTCCTTTGAGTTGTGAGGGTTTAAGTCGTTGGTTAAATCAATTAAGCAGTTTGGTGGATGTTTTAGTCGCTCTTATGTTATACATACATTTATCTTGTTAATTTGACTAGTTTATTCTTTTTTTTTAAAATATTAATTATCTTGTTCTCTGAATTATGACAATAGATTTGATATAATGGAATTTGGACTTAGTATATTGGGTCATTAATCTGTTGGGGCTATACAATATTGGTACATATTGGCCTATTTACTCCTTTAATAATTTACTTCATTTTTCACAATTATTTCATAACATATGGCCTTCATAATAATCTCAAATTAGTTTAGGAAAATAATTCAAATGTGTAGCTTGCTTTAGGTGCGATTGATAAATCATCGTGACTATGGGTACGGTTTCCGTAACATGGTCATGATAGGTAAATCTCAATTCGAGTGTGCGTTTCACGTGACTCGATCATAACTTCAAATAATAATAAAAATAAACATGTCATAAATCACGGGTGCATTTCATGTGGCGCGGTTTGCAACGTATACCAAAACGGCAAGTGTACGATATCGTGACTTGTTCCAGAAATAATTTTATAAATACTAAAAGCGGTTAAAAGTTAAAAATACACAATAGGTTTCAAATATGTATTAAATCAGATAATTAAGCTAATTATTAACAGTTGAGCGACCGTGCTAAAACCACGGAACTTAGGGGGAGTGCCTCACACCTTCTCCCGGGTTAACAGAATTCCTTACCCGGTCTTCTATGTTCGCAGACTATAAATAAAAGTCAATTTTCTTGATTTGGGATTTAAAATAAACTGGTGACTTGGGACAGCATAAATCATTCCAAGTGGCGACTCTGTAATAAATAAATAATCTCATTTCGATCAATGTCACTTTAATTAGAAAAACTCCTTATCCTTCGGGAAAAAGGAGGTGTGACAACTCTGGCAACTCTGCTGGGGATCGAACCCAGAATCTTTGGTTCAGGGTTCAGAATTCGAGCTTAGAATAACTGTTATACTTGGCTTTCTTGTGATTGTCTAATATTACGTGTTTGGGCCTAATGTGCTAAATGCCGCTTTTTACCGCTTTGATATTGTTTGAACTGTATATAAAATCGTTACGAAACCCTCTTTCCCTCTGAGTCTTCTTGAAATTAAATTGGGCATTTGCTTGACATAGCCCTCTTTCTTTGAGATAGCCGAGGTGCTTGTCACCCGGTGAAAGATTTTAGTCACACATATTTTAGGTGGGGAGCATCACCAGTTAAGCCGGAAAGCAATGCTAGTGGTACGCTGACCTTCCTCGACTCGAGTTGTACGCTTGAGTAAGCCAGTCTAGATACTTTCTCCACAAGGATTTGAACCTAGAAAATTAAACCTCATGCTGGATATCCCTAGTAGGTTCGCTTTATTTGCATCACGTGCATTTGACTTAGCAGGGTCGGCACAGGGGTCGAGTTCTGTTTAGAACAAGTACCTTGTTGAGACTATTATGTCATATTATGTACTACTTGTTGCATTATTTAGGAGGCTAGCATGTTGCCAATTTTAGCATAAATCAGTTGAATGAACAAAAAAATGATGTGGCCTAGTGCGTATGATTTTTAAAGATTAATTTTCATTAAAAGAAAAGAAGAGAAAAATAGTTGGTTTGACCGAACTACGCGGGTCTGATTCTTACCGGATGTGAGATACGTAGGCAAACCCCATCGGTTCCGGCCCACAATTTTTTTTAAAAATCCAAAAATATTTCCCATTACTTCCCCCTTGAGAAAAGTCTTCCTTTGAGACCCCAATTTGTTTTTACAAAAAACAATCCAAAAATATTTTCTTTAAATTTCTTCTAAAAATCCAAAAACAATTTCAGAAGTTTTACTTTCGAAAATTAAGGAGAAACTTCAAGATTCAAAAATATTTTTCTTTTTCTTTAGAAGTCTTTTTCATAAATTCAAAATAAAAGTCCAAAAATTCAAAAATATTTTCTTGTTTTTAGAAGTCTTTTCCCCAAAATATCAAAAAAAAAAAAGAAGATAAAATCAAAATCCAAAAAAAAAAATCTACCCTTTTTAGAAGTCTTTTTCCCAAAATTTCAAAAAAGAAAATCAAATATCCAAAAAGTATTTTCTTTCTTCTTTAGAAGTCTTTCTTTTCAAAAAATCTCAACAAAAAAAAAACAATCAAACAAATCAAAATCCAAAATATTTTCTTTCTTATTTATAAGCCTTTCTTTCGAAAAAAAAAAAAGGAATTCAAATCCAAAAAAAGAGTTAGTTTATTTACTT